CGTATTTTATGAAATCTCTAGGGCTTTCGCCGTCATAATCAATTGAATCCGCCTTTTTTATGCGGGAAACTGCTGGTCGGCGTAAACGCACGTTACCACCATAAAAATGGCGCGGAGAGAGAGACAATAGCTGTAACATACATGTAGTTTACCAATATTTCCGTCTCGGGCAAACGTTTTCGTCAATGAAACCGTTGTTGGTCAAGCTGGCTGCTCTTTTTCATGTTGAGCTTAAGGATTACTTAATTTACTTAATTTCGCAAGTATAGTTACCGCCTTGAAGTGTGGGATTGAAGTGATATGCCTAGCTAACAGTCCTTCTCGCTACAAATACAAATATAGGAGTTGGCAAGGAAGTTTTTAAACAACCTCGTCACGTGTTGTACACATCACTGAGTATCTCGTGGCGGTTTAAAACGCGGTGTTCCGGTACGCTTTTAAAACATGACTTTTCACATAGCGCTTGACTCGATGATAACCAGGAAGATGTTACGTAAATCTGAAACTTTTAGATGATATTTTTGGCAGCCGCGCCGACAGACACAACACTAAAAAATAGCAACTATTGAAGTGGAGTCATGCCGGTTGACCGCACCGTCCTGCTGGAATTCCATCTCGAGCGATCGACCGACCCCATGCAGTGAAGAAGCCGTCGGGACTGAACGTCACACGCTTTATCGCTCGCGAGGAAGAGCTGCACCAGGCACGGAAATACACCTATAACAACGACACTAATGCAAGTAGAGCTCTTTGGGAAGAAAAGCAAAATCGCCTATCGGGCAGTGGTGCTCGTTCCCAGCAGAACAAACGGTTCGTGGATAACACATGAATGTCTGCCGAGACTGTTTAGCTTGGTATGGCCCTTAATCCATTTTTGCATTGTAGTCTTGATGAAGAGCGAGAGTTGTTGGACAAAGAGGCACTCAAGATCCGACAAGCGCGACTCCAAAAGTACTATGAAACCTGCTACCAAGAGTACGGATCAGTATTTTTTAAAAATAAGTTTTATTTATTAACTGTTATGTTGCAATATGTAGATGGGAGCAAGAGCTGCGAGCTCGAGGTCTAGCGCTTGTACGTGATCGAGACTAGATTACTTAAGGGGGAAACCATCAACGAGAATTTGACTTTCAAGATGATATTTTATTATTAACCGTATCATCAGCTTCGCTGTCCTTGCATCATACGACACCTTCATCCTCCGGTACGCGTTCCTCAGCAATATCTGTAGACTTGCAATTTTCTTCAGATAAGCCTTCAGAGTCCACTGCAGACGGAATGACGACATAGTGTGATGGGACTGTTTCGGACGGGTATACTAGCAGCAAGTACAGCAGCAGCGTCATATATAACCCAGCCACGACGACCAGACCAATCCAAGCTGCCGTTGATAACTTTTCCGGGAGGTTCTTGAGGAGAATATCGTAGACGAGCGTGTAATTCACGCCACAAAGCAACGCCGTGCCCACGACAAGTAGAGCTCCAATCCACCTATTATTTACAAAAAGTGGCCCCATCAGCCTCGTGCTTGATGTAAATGCGAGCAACGGCAGAAGTGCGAAAGGCAACTGAACACTCTGGGGTACATTAAGGAGCTCGTTAAAGCGGTCGCTCTGGAATTGTCGATCTTGACTGATAAGCGCCACGAGAATCGCTGGGATCAATGCCACTCCTCGCGTAAGCGCCACACGCTTCCAAGCTGCAATCCGAAAAAAATCCCTCCATGACGAACTGACCAGCGTAAGTACCAGTCATGGTCGAAGCCTGACCTGACGCAAGTAAGCCAATGGCCCACACTACCTTCGCATACCCACCAAGTGCTTCACGTACTGCCTCGCCAGCCTGTGCTAGACCAATTTCTTGGCAATATCCAGCTGTCGGCCCCGACCCAAAGGATACCGTATCAAACCTATCTCCACGTCCATCCACGTAGCACGGTGTGCATGTTGTCACTGTATTGATAATGTCCGCGGTCATATCCTCATTAAACACACTCTCGCCACCAAAGACACAGATATTGCCCGTAAAAGCATCGTAAATCGTACTCCCCGAGCTCAACGCTGCCTTTGCTGGAATACACGACGTCTGGATATCTCTCCCATACAAACTCGAAATAGGATTACTACTGAGCGCATAACACTGGCGGCTGAAGAAGCTGCTGGCAAAGGCACAAACCACCGCCGCGTTGATTAAGAAGCTGACGAACAGCGCCATGCTGCTTCCAATCCGAAATATTAGTTGGCTTCCTTTACTTTTGTCGGAGATCTCGTATTAGTTGTCCTCTCTTGGACCAATGCTGAGTGAAGAAAAATATTATGTGGCATGATGATGGCCCCCAGCATCGCTACCGCCTGCATGGTGTTCTGTTTGTCCATTCTGGGCTCTACTATCCCATTAATAATCTCTATTCCGTCTGGATCACTCATGGTGAAGTCGGCGAAGAAGCAGACGCACATGGTGGCGATGAGCAGCAAGAAGAACATCTCGAGATATCGAGTTTTAAAGTCTCCCGCTCGTTGTAGGGCCAGGAATGTGAAGGTATCGAGTCCTGTAAGCAGACAACCGAGCCATAGAGGTAACCCAAATAGAAGCTTGAAGGCTACAGCCGATCCCAGTACCTCCTGGATGTCGCTGCCGATGATGGCGAGCTCCGTCATGATCCAGAGTCCGAAAGAGACGAGTGGTGGATACTCGGAGCGACATAATTGAGCCAAGTGACGACCGGTACAGGCCCCCAATCTGGCAGCTAAGATCTGGTAGAGGCCTCCGAACATGGCGCTGAGTAGAACAACGTAGAGCAATTGGTAGCGTGTGTAGGCCACTTTGTAGATCTGCTTCGAGGTTTCCAGGGTCCAAGTAGGCCATACTCATGAGCCAACCGGGGCCAGTGTACGACCAGAAGACGGACCAGGAGAAGCGTGGGCGATGTGGGTTTGCAGAGGGGTCGGTAGAGCCAGGAGGTAGAGCCTCGAGCGCGTGCTCGGAGCTGGCCATCATGACACTAATTGGGTTATGGCAAAGACTGTGGTTGAAGCTGTGATCTTCTAAACAGGAATGTTATATTTCTATAAAGGTATAGTACTGATACAGTAACATGTACCATACCTTTATGTCGTGATAAGATGTGGGTTTTTTATTAAACGGAAAAAGGTAACCTTCGCTTTAGTAATACGATAGCCATTGATTACACTAAATAGTCATATCGTGTCATGAACCAATCGACATAAGACAGCCGATGTCATTGGCCGAGTGCGGGTGCAAGTGTCCAACGCAATGAAAGCATAGGCTGGGTTCATTCAAGAGTATTTGCGAAAGGTGCTAAAAACACTTGGACGTACAACTCCCTGAAATTTATATCAGAGCTAGCATCCTGAAAATTTATTTAATAAAACCTGGTAATATATTAGCTCAGCGAATTATCAAAACAAAAAGGCTCAATTCAAAATAGGTGTTTCAAAATATATCATTTAGGGCGTCTCCATCGCGGGAGCAAAATGCTGCTGTGGCAGAAAACTAAAAATAAATTACCGCGGTCTCGCTCCACCGCGGGAGCAGAATAGCTCCAGCAGCAAATGAGCAGCTTTCGCGGGAGCAAGACGAGCCGATTTGCTCTGACTTTTGCTCCCCAGCAGCAAAAAGATTGTCCCAATGAAGTGTCGTAGATAAACTATGAAAATTTTCGGATTTCTGTGCACTTCGTCCAGACAATATTCGCGCCTCTCAAATATTTGCATTGCGGCACACGAAGACTATGACGTCCAAGCCTGGCACGCGTGGGCCAAACTGGATAAGTGGTGAAGATCAAGCACTCGCAATGCATCCGTAGGCAAGCATTCTCATCGCCACCGTGCACTTTTGCAGAGAAGACATACCCTTGTTCCCTAATGCGTCTTGTAGCTGGCGAAAATGATAATCTCTGGCGACAACAGCATTCATGATGCGAATGAAGAGCGATCGTCGCATTCGATACCGACGCCGGAAGTACTTTGCAGAGAAGCGTGGATTCTCTGCGAAGTACAGTTTCCACAGCTTGTTGTGAGCCTCGTCAAAGTCAGGCTGGATGTTCGCAGCTTTTCCTGGCACAGAGCCTCCCCGCTTGCGCTTTATTGGCGCTATCCGCTGCGCGAGAGTAAGAAGCATCAATACATATAGTATAACGTACAGAACAAGCGTTAACACTATAGTGGATAAGTAAGGGCGGACACGAGCTCACCTCGTCTTCCCCGTCACTAGCGCATCTCTCCAGCTCCTCATCACCCGACTCCATGGCGGATGGGGGGGGGGGCAGATTGAATCTTGAGCCGAAGAGGCGCCAATTTGCTTCTGCGCGGTGGAACTCAGCGTTTTTGCTACCGGCAGCAACTGGTCACATATAGGTTATATTACACGTTTGCTGCTAGATTTGCTGCCACGCGGTGGAGATGGCCTTAGGACCTAAAAAATTGATAAACTTATAAATTTCATTCGTGTTGTTTAAAGGCCGATGCTACAGTCCATGCGTCGACTCAGTTTATTTTCCATGTAATACTCCATGTAATGTCCATGTGTCGAAATAAATTACTTACCACTGTTTTTAAAATCCATAGTGAATGGAAGTTGTTAGACCTTCGCAAACGAAAGTCCTCTGACATCTCTCGTACATACCGGTATACAGAAGTCAGGAGGTCAACCATACGCATGAACATTAGGCGGGTCGATTCCAGTTTCAATAGAAATGAGATTGTATTAGTTGCATTATGGCTTGCTACCGTGAAGCACGAAGTGAAGGATGCGGAAGCGTAACAGCGTTAGACCAATCGGAGTTACGTCCAGCGACACACTCTTGTCTACATATCGCCAAAACCTCAACATTACGTAGAATCCGCAGTTGTATCCGTCTGTCTGGATCGGTCCATTGACGGACACAACTTTGGAGTCGTCGCTGAGCGTAGTAGCCAGATCCCACGACATGCGGTCCAGTACGTCCTTGTACGTCTTCAGGTTCATTGAGTCGTAGTACAGGACATTGTTCTGCTTGCCATCCACGATCATTGCACACCAATGCATGTTCCCAAAATTTACAGGAATGAGCAGTACATCCGCTTCAGTGAGTAGTTCCTGAACCTTTGTCTTCATTTTTTCACTCATAGATTTCTTCTTCTTTGACGCCGAGGCTGCCTCGACACCGACGATGCGAACGCCGGTGCCCGTCCTGTACAATCTCGCGCAAAAAGCCAAAATCAGCGCATCATTAGCCCATTGGGGCGGCTTGAGACGGTACAGCATCGCGTAGTGGTAATCGTTGCCGTCAATTGGGATGGTATCTTGGGGATAGGCGAGAGCAATGGCCTCTGCCATGCTCTGAAGTGTCGATTGTTGTGCTGCTGGTATGGCGCTGGCTGCATCCTGTGTTAACCATTTGGTAAACGCCATTCCATCATCACACGAACGCTTCACGTTTGCTAAGTATGCCATGGCCTCAATCTGTTCGCGTGAAAATGTTCCGATACCCGCGATGTAGACACACTCGATCTCCGGGTTTTGTCCGTTGCTGTCCATGATTTGTCCAGGTATTGTAGATGTTTCTTCGTCTTTTTGTGTAGTTTGACTCTGGGCGAGTACATCGATGGCTGTTTCATTGGTGTTGCTCACAGGCAGCACGGCAACGCACTTGTCCAACAGTTTGGGTGGAAGTAGGTAGAACGCGTTTTCATTCAGCACAGGCGCACTCTCTCTAGTGTACTTGGCTTTCTTGCTACCCGCGTTGTTGTACTTGGTTTGGAGTGGCAGAACAGGATGTAACCATCTAAATGAATGACATGTCAGACCCTCAGTACAACATCAATATTGGATATTACATGGACAACTCACGGCTTATACGTGGATAAATTGTGAGTTAACCCACCTTTCATCGATGCAACTCAGCGGTATTACGCTTCCTGGGGCGTTACTCCACTTCCGAAACGCGATCGCGTGTTGACAAGGCAGACGCATTGCAGAAGCAAACGAGCAAGTGCAGCTCCACGTTTTCAAATCCACAGCATGCGTCTTGTGTTTACCCGTCACCTCCACGAAGCCTGGATTTGACTTTAAGTCGAAATTGAACTTGTCGACCTTCGAACATGCCATTACGTACTCCTTCTCCACGTGTGTTGCTACGAAATGCGTCGTAAAGCGCAAAACTTGGCACATCTCCTCGTCGTAGTTGCGGCTGACACGTAACCCGATCCTAGTCTTGTCGAACACGTATTCACTGGAAGTCCTGGCATCAGCACCCACAAGGGCCTTCACGGTGTCCGTCATGGTCATGTTGGAGTTTACCCCGTCCTTAAAATGCCCAAACCAATTCTCTAAATGGTTGTTCGTGTGGACGCGCAAATGTGCCAACCGTGAGCGTTGGTACATGACCCACATCTCCGTACAAGTGTTCCAGTTTTCATCCATGTAGTTGTAAAATGCCATATATCCAGTCCTAGTGCAAAGTGCCTTCATGGAGGTCCAATTGGTCTCGTAGATCTCTGAACTTAAGGCATATACCATGTTGTGGACTAATGCGTCGATGGCGTCGTGATCGTCCGACGAAAGTTTACCATATTCTGACTTCCTGGACGCTGTGCGGAGATATTTGATGACGTGAAAGACGCAAATCAACACGCGCGACTTAGGGAAGTACCGACGCAACACGCGGATCTCATTCAGATCTTTGTCGACCATTATAACTTGAACCTTGTCGCCAATCTTATCTTCAATCCGAAATAGATGATCCAGCGCTCGGGACATCTGCCAATCGGCGTTTCGTTCGAGCAAAGACTGTTGTACAGGCTGCCCACGCCCATTGTCGTCTATCATCATGAAGGTACAAAGCTGGTAGTTGTATCTAATGCACATTACATGGACAAGAATCGCACAATACATGGGCATGACATTAAAATAAGCATGGACAGTACATGGACAAATAATTGCACAATACATGGGAAGACTTACCGATTCGTTTTGTAAGTACAGCCCACAAGCAAACGCTCTGGAAACCTAGTAACCATGTCGCGCATATGTCTGGAAGTCATACTGATCACACCAGAGTGTCCCGCATCAGTTTCGTCCACCGTGACTACGTTACCGTCAATAGCTGCGAATTCCGCGAGAGTTGCGGCGCAAGCGTCGTCGTCATTCAACCCTCCTCTTATCTCTGCTTTAACACGTTGCACAATGTTGTCCACATCCTTCTTGACGAGGTTCTCGCCTCTCCCCAAGAAGATACTCATAGATGAGTGCGCGCTTTCTACGTACATCACCATGCTGTCCACAGCATCCTATCGTGGTCCGTGTCGTCCAACCTAACGGTTCTCCGCGTAAGTCTAGAACTGAGGCTGTCCCCCACCGAAAAGGATGAGATGGTTACACCGCAGGCCTATCACCCCGAAGACGGGAAGACGGTCGACTTTGTACG